CCAGCAGCAGCACCCCCAGAACCAGCACCTCCAGTCCCAGGGTCTCCAGCCTCAGTGTCTCCAGCACGAGCACCTCCAGAACCAGCGACTCCAGCACCTCCAGTAGACAAAGGACCAGCACCACTCCTAGCTCCAGCAGCGCGACGCTGACGGCGACCGTACCAGTCCTGCAGCTGCTGTGGGGTGAGAGGCACACGTGGACGAAGGCGGCTACTCCAAGGAGACCGCGCAACAGCAGACTCAGAACCCTCAGCGCCCGCACCCCCAACGGCTCCAGAACCTCCGGTGTCAGTACCCTCAGCACCAGTACCTCCAGCGGCTCCAGAACCTCCAGCGCGAGCACCCTCAGCAGCTCCAGAACCTCCAGCTCCAGCGCCACCAGTACTAGGCCCTCCAGCAGCTCCCGAACCTCCAGCGCCAGCACCCTCAGTAGCTCCAGAACCTCCAGCGTCAGTACCGCCAAGCTCAGCACCCCCAGACCCCTCACACTCAGGCTCAGCACCACCAGGCTCCACACCCTCAAGCTCCGCACCCTCAGGCTCAGTACCCCCAGGCTCAGCACCCCCAGGCTCCGCACCCCCAGGCTCAGCACCCCCAGAAGTAGCACCCCGAGCAGGACCACCCTCAGTAGGACCTGAGTCACCAGTGACCTCAACTGGCGCAGTCAAGGGAGGAGGGTCTACCTGAGAAACACCTGAAGGAGCAGGACCGGGAGCGGGGAGGGGGTCTACCTGGGGAGCACCTGGAGCGAGGAAGAGCGGCGGGGGGGGGGGAGCGGGGCAGTGCGGTAGGGGAAGAGACGGTAAAAGGGAACCGACTCGTCGAACGTGACGTCCTGAGACGCAAAGACACGGCGCGAGGTGGGGTGATAAAACTGCCAACCAGGCGCGTCAGGGACAAAGCCAAGGAAGACACAGGGAACAGCGCGGGCGGAGAGCTTGTCCGCGGTGGTATCGCGGACAAAGGCACGAGCACCCCAGACCCGGAAACGCGACGCATCGCCAACCTTCCCCGTCCACAGCAGTGTGGGCGAGGTCTCCGGCAAGGAGACACGGGGCCAGAGGTTGAGCTGATGCGCGGCGTACTGGACCGCAAACGGCCACAGAAAATGGGGGGCAGCCGCATGGATCATGGAGGTACGAGCGACCTCCATGACTAAGCCAATGCGACGCTCAGCAACCCCATTCTGCTGCGGAGAGGCCGGAAGCGTGAACGACTGGGTGATGCCGTGCTCCGCACAGTAGGCTGCCAAGAGGTCGGAGGAGAACTCACCACCTCTGTCAGAGTGCAGACGCAGGACAGGAAAGTCCGACCGGAACCGCTCGCGGAGCTGGAGACGAACTGCGCGGATCCAGGGGATCAAAACAGCAGGGACATCTGCCTTGGTGCGTAAGGGGAAGACCGTGGTGTAACGCGTATAGTCGTCGACAACCAGCAGGAAGTACCGCTCGTGGCCCTGTCCCTGGACGCGGGCTGGGCCCCACACGTCCAGGTGGAGCGTCTGCAGTGGAGCCTCTGTGGGAGGAAACAAGGAGGAGTGAGGAGCGGCGCGCTGCCGCCCCTCGACGCAAGGAATGCAGGGCGGCGCAGGCGAGGGAGGGAGGGCAGGCAGAGACCTGGGAAGACCAGAGACCAGGGAGCGAGAGTGCATGCTACGTAGGCGAGGCAAGGAGGGGTGACCAAGGCGGTGGTGCCACAGGAGAGTGTCGTGCGACAAAGCGCGACACTCGCAGGGGGCCGCCAGCTGACCAGACGTAGACGCGGACGCAGCTACCTGAGGGGACTCAGTGGTCAGTGTGTACAGACTCGAGCCAGGTGCACGGGTGAACGTGGCCAAGTGCCGGCCCGTCCTAGCACACGTACAGTGAGTCACTCGCTGACTCGCAGGAGTGAACTGGTCAACCCCCCGATCCTGGAGGTCAGCTCCACTCACCAAGTTCGTAGAGAACGAGGGGAGGTAAAGACCTGACAGCGAGCCGGCGGCCGGACACGGCAGAACCGTGGAGTAGTGGGCAAGGACCGGACCCCCGGAGGGGTCCGCCAGGGAGACTGGAACTGGCCGACTAAGCGGCGTGAGTGTGGTGCAGTCGCGAAAGAAGGAGCGGGAAGCTCCTGAGTCAAGGGTGAAGGTGTGCGAGACCGCAGTGGGCGCAATACCAGAGAGAGCAGACTCACCAGCACCTGAAGCCACGGCCTCACCAGTACCTAGAGCAGTAGACGTACTAGCACCGAGAGCAGCAGCCTCACCAGCACCTAGAGCAGGAGACGCACTAGCACCTAGAGCAGCAGCCTCACCAGGGTCAGGCGGTACGCACAGGTAACAGGCACGATCAGCACTAGTAGGCAATGCATACATGGCAGTGAGAATAGCATCATAGTCAAGCGCAAAGATATCTACCCTCTGTCCATGCAGCTCCAGCCAGGTGGGGAGCTCAGCCTCGTCGCCAAACACTGTGCGCCAGTCGTCGCTCAGACGGGCGAAGCAGCGGGACTGTGTGTGACCAAGCGTCCCACAAGGCTGACCAGTCCTAGCACCTGTGCGAATGACGTACGGGCAGCGAACTGTACGCGTAGACCTGCTACACTGAGCGTACCACTCCTGGAGCTGCCGGGGCGTAAGTGTCTCGCGTGGACGCCCCTGCAGCTGCAGCTGGCCACTGCCAGACGCTCCCAACTGACCAGCTCCAGGGCGACAGCTACGACGGCTACCGCGACAACCCCAGCTAGTATACCACTCACTAAGCTGCTGGGGCGTGAGAGGCTCGCGGGAACGTCGCTGGAGCTGCATCTGGCCACCTGCCAGTAGCAGTAGCAGCAGCAGTAGCGCGGGCAGGGCAGGCGCGGCAGGCAGGCAGGCAAGCAGGCAGGCAGGCAGGCCGGCAGGCAGGCAGGCAGCCAGGCAGGCAGGCAGGCAGGCAGACAGGCAGGCAGGCAGGCAGGCAGACAGACAGACAGGCAGGCAGGCAGGCAGGCAGGCAGGCAGGCAGGCCGGCAGGCAGGCAGGCAGCCAGGCAGGCAGGCAGGCAGGCAGGCAGGCAGACAGGCAGGCAGGCAGGCAGGCAGACAGACAGACAGGCAGGCCGGCAGGCAGGCAGGCAGGCCGGCAGGCAGGCAGGCAGGCAGGCAGACAGGCAGGCCGTCAGGCAGGCAGGCAGGCGCTCACCAAAGGCTGGGAGAGCAGGCGCTCACCGGGCGAGTAGGGCCAGCGCTCGACGGGCGGCGGCCGAGTAGGCGCACGACAGCGGCGACGTCGGGGCCGCAACACCGGCTGCAGAGCAGGGCCGAAGCAGCTGCAGGGCGGGGCCGCGTCAGCGGCAGTAGCAGGGTGGGGCCGCGTCAGCGGCAGGTCGGGGCCGTGGCAGCTGCAGGGCGAGGCCGCATCAGCGGCAGGTCGGGGCCGAGGCAGAGGGCCGCGCGCGGCTCGGCGCGGGCTGCGCTGACAGCGCGCTGAGCTGCTGCAGGCCGCGCGCGGCCGCGCTAGGCAGTAGCGGGCCGCGCGCGGCTCGGCGCGGGCTGTTGCGGGCCGCGCGCGGGCCTCGCGAGGCCGTAGCAGGCCGCGCGCGGCTCGACGCGGGCTGCGTGGGCTCGGCGCGGGCTGCGCGCGGCAGCTGCGGGCTGCGCGCGGCTCGGTGCGGGCTGCGCGCGGCTGCAGCGGGCTGCGCGCGGCTCGGTGCGGGCTGCGCGCGGCTGCAGCGGGCTGCGCGCGGCTCGGCGCGGGCTGCGTGGGCTCGGTGCGGGCTGCGCGCGGCTGCAGCGGGCTGCGCGCGGCTCGGTGCGGGCAGTGCGCGGCAGCAGCGTGCTTAGCGGTCTGCAGGGGCTGTTTGCGGGCCTGACGGGCGTGTAGGGGCGGCGCGCGGGCCTTACGGGCCTCTAGGGGCAGCGCGCTGGCCTAGGGCAGCAGGAGGCAGCGCTAGGGCTGCTGGACGGCGCGCATAGTGCAGCACGTCACAAGGCAAGGCAAGGCAGGCACGTGGGGTAGCGCGGTAACCGCAGCGGTAGGTGGGCCCGAAAAAAAAAACGGTCCTACGGACCTTAGTGCTCTGAAACCATGTTAGAATCTAGCAGCAGGAATGGTTGAACTAGCAGCATGCAGGAGTACAAGAAGTAAACCCTAATTTGAGTTGTACCCCATATGGGCTACCCCACTACAGCCTAGACAATATGCAGCATATGTTTGACAGGTGTTAGCTCTAAACAAAAGACATGTGGCATCATACCAAGGATAAATGCACAGTAAATGCAGAAGCACTTCTAGTAGGTAAACCTCACTGTACAAGGGGCGAAATCGTAATAATTATGTCAGTCACGGACTTGCATCAACGACCAGGAGAAAAGAAGGCAGTGGCAATGCATCAATTCTGCACCGCAAAGCATGCCAGCCAAAGCCCTCCTTCACTACCTTCAAGTACCCGCATATCCCACCAACTGCATCCCAGTGCCCCTGACTGCCAGCAGTACCTCGCAGTGGCATAATGGCATTAGCCATCCATTCACTCAGGCAGTGCTCGCTGGGCTGGTAACCGCCATGGCAGCACATTGCAGCAAGGGCACCACAGCACAGCAGCAATCGCAGCACAGCACAGCAGCACAGTGGCTAGCACGTTTGCCTGACAGTGCTGGCAACGGCTTGAGCCCAGAGCCTGAGGTGCGTCTTGACATCTGAGGGCGGGTCCTGCGGGTTGGCAAATGACCACTCCGCGTCCAGGCTGCCACTCATTCCCCTCTGCTCCTGCTCATGCTCTGGACTGTGCCCATGGCTATGGCTCCTGACACAGGTGGTGGTGGTGCTGATGAGAGATGGGATGTGGCGTGGCGAGGATGGCATGGAGCTGCCTCGCTGCTGCTGCCGTTGAAGAATGGGGGGGAAACAGAGGGGGAGGGGGAGGACAAGGGAGCCGGTCAGGTGGGGATGGTTAGTGAGTTAAATTTAGGAACAACACCAGGCAAAGCAAGCGATAGCCTATGAAATTCGCAGCAGCTGAATGCGAGACGTGAGCGATTCAGGCAAGCGGTCGTACCATGGCATGGGGTTCAGAGGAGCGGGCGACAACGAATGGGTCCCCAGGGGAGCACGAGATCCGTGGCGACGAGGTGCCGCTGCCAACCCCAACGGTCACGCTGCCGTCCGCAGCACCGCCAGCAGCACCGTGAGCACCTTCCGCATCTGTAGCACCCACGGCTGTGGCGGAAGCGGCTGTAGCGGGAGCGGCGTGATGATGGTGGCGGGAGATGAGTCGCTGTTGCACGCTCCCCACGGCCTGGTACAGGCGCAGCGCGGGGAGAGTGGCGGTCATGCGCGCGCTCATGTCCGCCTGGCGGAAGTTGAACCCCAGATCCATGAATCCCCGGAGTTCCTCCACGTCAGCCTCTGCTCAGGGTACACGTGGCAACGGGAAGAAATGACTTAAAAAACTGAAAGGCGGAGTAGCGGGAAGGATCGGGAAAAGGTGGATAGATTCAGTGGTTGAGTGAGGTAAAGGGGAAGGGGAACGCGGCGAGGACTATGAGTCCTCTCCTTTCCAGTTAGGGTTTGAACCGAGCAGCGGAGCAGGAAACGGGGACATTCGCAAACCCACTGTTTGCAGTCCCTATCTTGGAATCACACCCGCTTCGATAATCCCACTGCTAACCTGTCAGGCTTCTTGCACGCGCGGAAGGCGTCAAGGGGAGCCCGTCCCCCCCTTCCGCGTCCGCGTCCGCCTCATATGCGCCTTGCCGCATCGAGCTGTTGCGCTCGTACTCCGCCGAGTCATAATCCGACACACTCCGCGTGCGCAAATACCGCGGCTTCCCCGAACTTCTGCTTCCGCAACTCCCCCCACCCGCTCCATTCTCCGCTTCCGCCGTCCCCGTACCTCCCGCGGACCATCGGAAAGGGGGAGATGGGTGGAACGCGGAGAAATGTTCTCCAGCGCTTCCCCGCCTTTCCGCGTATGCTCCCCGCCCGGACGAAGCGTAAGGGGAGGCAGTGCGCTCGTAGCATTCGCCATCGCTGCTCCGCGTCTCTATCGAATCCCGCTGCTCTTCGTCCGCCGGAAGCGGGGGATGCGGAGGCATCGACACGCGTCTTGACATGCGCGCCGCGTCGAGGCTGCTGCTGCGCTTCGGTCGCCGCCTGCTTCCCGACCGGCCGCGGCGGCGCCGGTACTTTCCGAAGCTGCCTTCAGGGTCCGGCTCGGGACTGCCAGACCTGGAACAACCGCTTGGTTCGGAGACAGCCGAAGCACCCCCGCTGGTTCGGTCATCAGCCGACGCGCAAGCGCACTCCACTGCCGCACCACCTGCACCTTCGCGGAAGTTGCTGGCGAAATTCGGAGCGTTTAAATCCACGTGCGCACACGCAATCCTCCCCGTTTCCGGGACCCCTGGAAGCGCATCCCCGTTATCAGCATCCTCTGTCTCGTTAACGGCTTCCTGGATTGTGGTTAAATTGGAATCATGGGGCCAAGCGGCGACATTGCTGGAGAACCACCCCTCATCGAGCAATTCAAGCAGCGAGCCTCCCACTGCTGACACGCCAGCACGAGAAGCCGGCTGCTGCTGCTGGCGCTTGGTAAGGGAAGCGAAATGAAGCAAGCTCAAAAAAGAGCGGGAAGGTGGTGGCGTGTCAGTACGAGTAGCAGGTGGTGCGATGTCAAAGAATGAAGAAGATAGCGACGCGTTCGCTGGAAGAATGGCGGATTCGACAGCAGGAGAGACGCTGGTACTGCTGCTCCTGCTGCTCCTGCTGCTCACATCAGCGCCAACGCCGTCGCTGCTCCGGGAGTCGCAGGAGCAGCTGTTATTGGGAGATTCGGCGAGGATAGGACCGTTACTCATTAAGCCTTTAAACGGGAGTCGTATATGACGTGAAAGTAATAAAAACTGGTACTTTCAAATTCCTTATTTGTAAGAATGAAGTACTTCAATACTAAGGTAAACGACAATAACAGCGCGCTGAGTTACAGGAGGCCAGGATGTCAATATTAAGCTTCAATAGTGAGGGGGTCACGTCATTAAGAAAAGGCGCGCTGAAACGCTTTAGCAAATATATTAAACCGCTGAATTAGTAGGACGCATGCAGCTGTCCCCGAAGCATAACGCACCCACGTAACTTCAGCAGACTGAAGGCTGGCAGCCTCCTACATACATCAGCATCCAGGAACCAAAGACCACCAACAGAAACCCTGAAGACACTCTGATTAAACTTCTATTCCTAACCTCACTGGCTCCTGCTTTCTAGGGTCGTGTGAGTCGGATGACTAGTGCTCCCAAGCAGAAAGGAGTGTGCCTGTCAGCCAGCAGCAGGTCCCAGCGGCGCAAGGAGCTTTGCGGGAACGGGAAGGCTAGCAGCGCCGCATTTCTCCCGCCCCCGCCTTCCCCCATCCGTTTCGGGCGATTGCGCAGACAGAATGGTGAGCCCAGGCAGGCTTGGTTGGGGCAGGTGGCATGGGGAGGAGATGCGTTCCGCTCCGCCTTCGCTTTGTTTCATGCGGAGACCTCCTCCGCGGATGTGGAGAATCTTCGGAGGACCCATACGAAACGGAGTTCCCGATGGAAGCGGTCGGTCAGGCCGCAGTGCTTCATGGGGGATGCAAGAGCCTGGCGGGTCTGGTGCGGGAAAGTGTTTTTGGTCAGTTCGCGCTTCCTTCGGAATTGTGCGAGTGGTTGAGCAGGTGACTGTGGGCGCTTGGGTTCAACGCTAGTCCGACGTGGCGTGTCAGGAATAGCTGTTATCCATGCTGGATGATTCATGGATCCGGGCGGATGTTCGGGAAAAGTGACGTGAAGGAAACCCTTTTTTATGGGGCAGGAGTTTCGGGCATCGAAGGGGTATAGGATATTCGCCGAGGTATGATCTCCACCATTGCATTGTCAGGAAAGAATCATCGTCAACCGTTCAACACAATGTGGTAACTTCCGACGGTGCCACGCATGACAAGTGGAGCTGTTTACTGACCACAATGTGCTTTCCTGGTGCTTTCTCGTTCTGACGTTGTGCCAGCATGGATTAGTGGAGCCGTGACTGCGGCGCGGAGAGTTGGGACTCAGCGCGTGTCTTGAGCGCAAATATCACCCTTTTTGTTTCTCCTCCGGAAACAGAAAATGTTTGCGGTTGACCTCATTTTCACCAATGTGTGTCCTCAAGCTTGCTCAAATGAATTGCAATTTGGTACTTATGGTGCCAGTTATGCAGGGTTCCAGCCAATTCAACACATCTATGTTTGTGCCATCTCTCAACATGGGTTTCTCACTCACACGAACGGAAACACCTGTCCACGAGAAACGCGCCACATGGAAGGGATGTGTATCCTCCAATGCTGCGAACCCGCGTGTCACTATGGTGCCTTCACGATTGTCGGTTTCGTCGGTTTGCCTGCCTCGCTAATGAGCGACCTTCTTACAAGACCATTCTTATGTGATAACTATTTCGCCCCATTAGTGTACATCCAATCCAAGCAACGAAAACTCTTTGGCCCAACTTATTCAATTCATAAGTCATGTTTTCCACCTTCCAGTTGCACTAGTCATGGCTATATACAACATGTATTTCAAATATATGATGTTAATAAACAGGAGACAGAGGGTAAAGGGAAGGAATATGGAATGGTTTAGAGGGAGTGAGTTTGGTCCAAGCTTGGGTGCATATTATGCTAAATTAGCAAGAAAAAAAGTCAAGAAATTAATATATTGTTTTCTGTAAGCGTTGAATACATGAAATCATGAAGAATTGCTGGTTTGAGATCACATCAGATGCTATAGGAATTCTGAACTTTTGAATGTTAGCCTTCACCACATCCTCGCCACTGCGTACAGCGCTTTCAGAAACATCAAACCTCCCTCACCTCCTGCTCTTGGAGCAAACAAACCCTTCACGTCAGGGGCCGTCATGGGAACTTGTTTACAGGTCATGCATCGAAGTTCGGCCAGGTTATTAGCGGTTCAAGTCGGTAAATCTATAGAACCTCTCCAAACTGCACAGCGTCGTGCTCAACCGTTTCTATGGAGCAACGACAGAGCCTTGCAGCACATCAAACTCAAATCCTTTCATCAGTACCAGTCAGCCATGGCGCCTGCTTCACATCACGTGTGCTAATCCCACAGCATCACAGCAAGCACTAAGGGAGTTCTGACCTCCTTGTTATTGCTGCCCCCTTCCTATCCTAATCGCCGCGCATCTGCAAGAGTGAACAATAAAAGCGGAGTTAAACCTGCATCCATGAAAGCAGGTTGAGGGCTGTACGAATATAGTTAGAATTTCGGTACGGTTTTACCTGTGATATAGTTCCGCAGGAACGAAAAGAAGGGTCGGCGGTCTTGCTTCCGTGGTGTTTTTTATGCTGTCGTCACTGGCAAGGGCTTAGCGTAGCGACACATCAGCATAGTCCACTTTAATCCACACATAACTGAAATTCGTGTGCTTGTGGAGATAATAAGTGCGAAATACCCTGTCGTGCGGAGAACCGCCGTGTTCGCCGTCTTCGTCTCCCTGATTCGGCTCAAACAAGCACCCTCCTCGCGGATACACCGGGAATTGATATCCGCACCGTTCTCAACCGCATCGTCATCACCTCCGCCAACCCACACCTTCGCCCTATCTCTTCCCCGAGTCGGCCGCCATGAATCAGCTGCGTCGCAAGTCGGCGTTCCGCATCGAGCCGTTTCGGCACAAGGTGGAGATGGACCCGCGATACGCGGAGAAGACGTGGGGCATTCTCGAGGACGCCATCCACCAGATCTACAACCACAACGCGTCCGGCCTCAGCTTCGAGGAGCTCTACCGGTACGCCCTTTGTTCTTGTACCGGTACGCTCTCCTTCGTACTAGAGGTGCCTCCTCCCCCTCTTTGTTCCCTCCCTCGGCGTGCGGCATTCTCGAGGTCGCCACCCACCGCATCCACAACCACAACGCCTCGGGGCTCAGCTTCAAGGAGCTCTACCGGTACGCCCTTTGTTCTTCTAACGGTGTCCCCTCCCTCCCTTGCCCCCTCCCGCGGCGTGCGGCATTCTCGAGGACGCCAGTCACCGCATCTACTGCCACAACGCCTCGGGGCTCAGCTTCGAGGAGCTCTACCGGTACGCGCTTTGTTCTTGTACCGGGGCCTCCTCTCCTCCTACTCGAGGTTCCGCCTTCCGTCCTCGTAGCGATGCCTCCTCCTCTCCCTTGTTCCGTCCCTCGGCTTGCGGCATTCTCGAGGTCGCAACCCACCGCATCTACAACCACAGCGCCTCGGGGCTCAGCTTCGAGGAGCTCTACCGGTACGCCCTTTGTTCTTGTAGGCTGTAGCGGTGCCTCCTCCGTCCCTTGCTCCGTCCCTCGACGTGGGCCATCCACCAGATTTACAACCACAACGCCTCCGGTCTCAGCTTCGATTCGAGGAGCTCTACCGGTACGCCCCTCCGTCCTCCCCGCGTGCTGTCCCTTTGCTACCGAGAACACGCCCTTCCAAGAGCTCTACCAGTCCGTGCGGCCTCCGTGCCTCTCGCTTATGCCCTCCCTCCCTTGCTCCCTTTCTTCTCGAGCACGCCCTGAACGCGGCTATCTCTCCCTCCATCGCAGCGTCTTCACTTCTATCTCCCCCCCCCCACATTCGCAGCAACGCGCACAACATGGTACGGCACGGCGACCGCCTGTACGCAGGGCTGGCGGTAGCCATGCTAAGAGTGTCTTTCCCTTCTATCACCCCCCCTCTCCCCCCACACACCCTCACAGCAACGCGTACATCATGGTGTTGCACAAGTAAGAGTGTCTACGTAGGGCTGGTAGGCGCGCTAAGAGTGTCTATCCCTTGGTCTCCTCTGTGCCTTCTCTCTGTCCCGTCCCCACATACCCCAACCCCACCTCTCCATTTACAGCAACGCGTACGTACAACATGGTGCTTCATAAGTACGGCGACCGCCTGTACGCGGGGCTGGTTGCTACGCTACCGGCTATCTCCCTCCCTGTGTCTTCACTTCCATCTCTCCCTCCCTCCCTGTGTTTTCCCATCTATATTCCCTCCATCCCCCAGCAACGCGTACAACATGGTACTCCATAAGTACGGGGACCGCCTCTATGCGGGGCTGGTGAGCATGCTAAGAGCGTCTCTCCCTTGTCTCCCCTTCACTTCCCCGCGTACCCTCGTCCACCTCCCCCCCCAGCAGCGCGTACAACATGGTGCTGCACAAGTACGGCGACCGCCTCTACGCAGGGCTGGTCGCTGCGCTAACAGCTGGTTTTATCTCCCAACCCCTCCCCTCCCCACCACACACCCCCTCCCCTCCCCTCCCCTCCCCTCCCCTCCCCCCAACCCCCTTCTTACAGCAACGCGTACAACATGGTGCTGCACAAGTACGGCGACCGCCTCTACGCAGGGCTGGTTGCGTCACAGCACTAACTGCTATCTCACCCCCTCTACACCCTCTCCCCTTCCCCCCAGCAACGCGTACAACATGGTGCTGCACAAGTACGGCGACCGCTTGTATGCAGGGCTGGTAATGGCCACACTAAGAGTGTCTTCCTCCTCTCTCCCCCTGTGTCTCTCCCCCACCACCTCTCCTCTCGCAGCAACGCGTACAACATGGTGCTGCACAAGTACGGCGACCGCTTGTATGCAGGGCTGGTAATGGCCACACTAAGAGTGTCCTCCTCCTCTCTCCCCCTGTGTCTCTCCCCCACTACCTCTCCTCTCGCAGCAACGCGTACAACATGGTGCTGCACAAGTACGGCGACCGCCTCTATGCAGGGCTGGTGAGCATGCTAAGACTCTCCTTTTCCCCCCTCCCCTCTACACCCCCCCCAGCAACGCGTACAACATGGTGTTGCACAAGTACGGCGACCGCCTGTACGCGGGGCTGGTGAGCACCATGACGAACCACCTCAAGGGCGTGGCGGCGGCCATTCAATCTGCTCAGGGGCCACTGTTCCTCAACGAGCTGGATGCAAGGTGGGTTTGGGGTGGGGTTGAGACGCCAGGTAAGGGGTGGTGACACGGGTAGGCGGTGGGGTAGGGTCACCTCCTGTACGCGGGGCTGGTGAGCACCATGACGAACCGTCTCAAGGGCGTGGCGGCTGCTATAGAGGCGGCGCATGGGGCGCTCTTTTTGAACGAGCTGGATGCCAGGTGAGGAGGGAAGGAGGTGTGGGGTGGTGACGCAGCAGGCAGCGGGGTGGGGGGTAGGCTGGCCTCTACGCAGGGCTGGTGAGCACCATGACGATCCACTGTGGCGGCTGCCATTGAAGCCGCTCACAGGCCGCTGTTCCTCAACGATCTGGACGCCAGGTGGGTTTGAGGGTGTGACGCGAGGTAAGGGGTGGTGCCACGGCAGGCTGTGAGGTGGGTTAGGACCGCCTCTACGCAGGGCTGGTGAGCACCATGACAGCTCACCTCAAGGGCGTGGCGGCGGCTATAGAGGCGGCGCACGGGGCGCTCTTCCTCAACGAGCTGGACGCGAGGTGAGGGGAGGATGAGGTTGAGACGGCAAGGTGACACGGCAGGCTGACAGATGGTGGTGTAGGGTGGTCTCTACAGAGCAGGCTGGTGAGCCTAAACCATGACGACGCATCTCAAGGGCGTGGCGGCATCAATAGAGGCGGCTCACGGGCCGCTCTTCCTCAACGAGCTGGACGCGAGGTAACAAGGGAAGGAGGGGTGTGGGGTAGGCTCGCCTCTACGCGGGGCTGGTGAGGTGAGCACCATGACGAACCACCTCAAGGGCGTGGCGGCGGCCATAGAGGCGGCGCACGGGCCGCTCTTCCTCAACGAACTGGATGCGAGGTGAGGGAAGAGTGAGAGGAGGAGACTGTGATACGAGGTGACACAGCAGGATGTGAGGTGGGGTTGGCTCCATTTGCGGCTGGTGAGCACCATGTCGGCGCACCTCAAAGGCATGGCAACGGCTATAGAGGCGGCGCACGGGCCTCTCTTTCTCAACGAGCTGGACGCGAGGTGAGGGGAGAGAGAGAATGAGGTTGATGGGGTAGGGCTGGTGAGGACGGCTGGTGAGCACCATGTCGGCGCATCTCAAAGGCGCCGCTGCTGCTATAGAGGCGGCGCACGGGCCGCTCTTTCTCAATGAGCTGGATGCGAGGTGCATGTGTGGTGGGTGGGAGGTGACACGGCAGGTAAGGGGTGGTGACATGGGGCAGGCTGTGAGGTGGGGAAGGGTCGCCTGTATGCGGGGCTGGTGAGGTGAGCAGTGCACCATGACGGCGCACCTCAAAGGCATGGCAGCGGCTATAGAGGCGGCGCACGGGCCGCTGTTCCTCAACGAGCTGGACGCCAGGTGGGTGTGAGGTGGTAACACAGCAGGCAGTGGGGTAAGCTCGTCTCTATGCGGGGCTGGTGAGGTGAGCACCACGACAGCGGCGCATCTCAAAGGCGTGGCTGCTGCCATTGAAGCCGCCCACCTCACTCACACCCACCATGCACTTCTCTTGTGCTCCCCCTCACTCCCAGATGGCATGACTAGGGCAAGTCCCTCCACCCTCCTCTCCCTCATCCAACAAGAGCGCTCTTTGAGGCGCCTCTCCCTCCTCTGCCTCAAGAAGCACTTCAGGGAAGTCATCAACCGAGCCCTCACCTCTCTTTCTGACTCCTCTCCCCCTTCCCCCCGCTCCCCTCCCTCACCTCCTCACCCCCAGGTGGCACGACTATGGAAAATCCCTCCAGATGATTCGAGACATCCTGATGTACATGGATCGCACCTACGTGACCAATCACAACAAGACACCTGTGCACGACCTGGGCCTCGCGCTCTGGCGCGACCACATAGTGCGCGCCCCCGCCATCCGCCCCCGCCTCCTCTCCACCCTCCTCTCCCTCATCCACCAAGAGCGCTCCGGCGAAGTGATCAACTGCGCCCTCATGCGATCCATATCGTCCATGTTTGCCGATCTCGGCCCGGCGGTGTATTCGGAGGATCTGGAGCGTCCGTTTCTGGAGGCCTCCGCGGCGTTTTACCGCGGCGAGGCGCAGCGCCACCTGGCGACGTGTGATTGCGCGGATTATCTCAAGGTGGCGGAGAGGCGGTTGGAGGAGGAGGCGGAGCGTGTGGCGCAGTACCTGGATGCGCGCACCGAGGGGAAGGTGACGGGCGTGGTGGAGAGGGAGATGGTGGGGAATCATCTGCGGCTGCTGGTTGATATGGAGAACTCTGGCCTCGTGCCCATGCTCGTGAACGACAAATACGAGGTGAGCAGAAGTTTTGCTTTCCCCCTCCCTCCCTCCCTCCCTCCCTCCTTCCTGGTGCCTCTGTGGCGGTGGTGGGTATCATAGCTGGTGGTTGGGGGAGGAGGAGGGGGAGCGCGTGGCGCAGTACCTGGATGCGCGCACGGAGGGGAAGGTGACTGGCGTGGTGGAGCGCGAGATGGTGGGGAACCACCTGCGGTTACTCGTGGACATGGAAAATTCGGGGCTGGTGCCCATGCTTGTGAACGACAAGTACGAGGTGAGAAGGGGTTGCTTTCTTCCTGCCTTCCTCCCTTCCCTCCGCCCTTTTCTGAGTCTCTGGGGTGGTTGGTATAAGATGGGTGGGTGGGTAGCGGAGAGGCGGTTGGAGGAGGAGGCGGAGCGCGTGGCGCAGTACCTGGATGCGCGCACAGAGGGGAAGGTGACAGGCGTGGTGGAGAGGGAGATGGTGGGGAACCACCTCAGGCTGCTGGTGGATATGGAAAATTCCGGCCTGGTCCCGATGCTGGTCAATGACAAGTACGAGGTGAGACCTCCCTCCCTCCCTGGATGCACAGTACCTGCATGCGTGCACGGAGGGGAAGGTGACTGGCGTGGTGGAGAGGGAGATGGTGGGGAATCACTTGAGGCTGCTGGTGGATATGGAGAATTCTGGGCTGGTGCCCATGCTGGTCAACGACAAATACGAGGTGAGTGGTTGGAGGCTTGAAGCGCTCACTCCTACCTGGATGCGCGCACGGAGGGGAAGGTGACGGGCGTGGTGGAGAGAGAGATGGTGGGGAACCACCTGCGGCTGCTCGTTGATATGGAGAACTTTGGCTTGGTGCCGATGCTCGTGAACGACAAGTATGAGGTGAGAAAGGGTTGCTTTCTTTCTCCCTCCTTCCTGCTCCCTCCCCCTCCATTCCGTCCTTCCTGCGCCCCCCTCCCCCTTCAGGACATAGTGCGCATGTACCACCTGTTTCAGCGCATGCCGGCAGGGCTGCAGGTGATAGGGGAGGTAGCAGGCGTATCGCCCTTCCTCCTCACCACTCTCACTGGGGGATTGCTTTGCCTCTTCTTTTCTTCGCCCCCCTCCCCCCTCTCACTGAGGTGATGTCAGCTCAGCAGTGAGCCTTCTTGTCACCGAATATGCACGGTTGTGCATATAAGGTGCCAGTAATAAGGGGGTGTAGCAAGGGTGTAGTTATGTTGTGCTTGCAGATTCGAGGATGGGTAGGTGGGGGCTGGGAAATTGACGCGAAGTTGGTAGGAGAGCACCAAGGGGTGAAATCCATGCAACCAATGGGAATGAACCCACCCAGGCTCGAGCCGCACATTGAGAAATGCACGGTTCGAGCCAGGGTCAGGTAAGTTCACTCTCACACACACACACAATGCTTTCCGTTTGTTATCCTTTCGTATAGTGGATTCTTGTTGCCTTAAGCTTTGCCTACGGTGACACCCACTCAGGGAGGACCCTTGAGGTGAGAGTTTCATTTCTTTCATTACAAACGGAAAGGGTGCGCGTACAAGCATGGATGTGTACGAGCTGCGTTACAGCAGGAATTACGGACGCCGTGAGGAGGATCGCCCACGGCGCGAACGCTCACGTGAGCGAGGACGTTCCTTGGAGAGGTCGCCGCGGCGACCTGAGCGATCTCCGCGGTGGCCGGCCTTTCGCGCGGATCAGGTACCTCTCGCGCCAGATCGGCAAGAGGGAAGATCCGCTCGAGAAGGAAGAGGCGGATCCGGATCTGTCACGATGGGAAGCGACCCATGGCGGACGGACGGGCGTCACGGAGCTGAGGGCGGTTATGGGTACCGCCAGGACACGGGAGCGTACCGCTCGCCGGAGGAAGGCTATCGCCGTCGCGAAGAGAGAAGTCGCGGGCGAGGCCTGGAGGAGTCCTTCTCAGGTCGCCAAGGCGATCTTGACATGGATGGCGACGACGAGGCCGACTCGGCGAATCGAGTGCGGGAGACGAACCGTGATGGTGAGATCAAGGGCGATGACGAATCCCCGGAGGAAGGCGCAGGCGAGCAGCGCGAAAAGCCTGCTGAAGTCGAGGACAAGGATCCCGCGCAGGCGGGCGTGGCGGCGGAGCCGAGCACGGTGGAGGCGGACGGAAAGGGCGGTAGTCGAGATCTGCCGCACGACGAAGAGAAAGGCGACGGCGGGGGGCGTGGCAGTGGCGCACGCGCTTCAGATTCACGTCAGCAGCGTGACGAGGGACGTGGCGGCGGCGCGCGTTCGCCTGATCCGCGCCTGAATCGGGACGGAGGACGCGGCGGCAGTGCGCGCTCGCCAGATCCGCGGATGTACCGGGAAGGGGGGGCGTGTGGCGACACGCGCGCGCCGGATCGACGGCAGAACTATGGCGGGGAAGGCGGTAGCGGCGCACGCTCACCAGACCCACGACGTCCGCACGGGAGCGAGAGGCATGGAAGCGGCTATCGCTCGCCAGTGCGGCAGCAGCTACATGAAGACAGGTGCAGGGGCGGCTACCGCTCGCCTGAGCCACGGCAGTACCAAGACAATGGGCGCGGGGGAAGTGGGCGCTCACCAGATCCGCGGAGGTATCACGACTGGAGAGGCGGAGGGGAGCGGCGCTCTCCAGGTCCCCGGTATCCACGTGACGAGGGACGCGGAGGCGACTACCGCTCGCCTGGTCGGCAACGGTATCATGGAGAGAGATGGGGAAGCGAGACGCACTTGCCCGAGTGGCACAGGCGTCCTGGAGAAAGCAGGGAAGGCGGACATGGCTCGCGGCCACGGCAACAGAGCCGGGAAGGGGGGCGCGGCTATGGGCATCACTCACCTGATCGATACGGGCGGTATGACGGAAGGCGTGCCAGTGAGGAAGGACGGGATCAGCGCGGCAGCAGAGAAGGAGGCAGTGGGCTGATGCAGAGCCTGGAGCGAGCCAGAGAGGCAAGGGAAGGATTATTGCGGGCGAGAGAGAGAGGAGCATCAGGGAGATCGGCAGAAGGGCCGAGCGAGGCGTGGGGAGAAGGCAAGGGAAGCACGGCAATGGTCACGAGGGTGGAAGTGCCAACACGCTTCTCAGGAGACCAGCGTACGGGCCCCACACTGAAGAATTACCTGATGCAGGTTGGCAACGTGCGGTACCGGTGCGAAAGGAGCGGCATGGACTCAGTGGACTTCTTCCTGAGTCTGCCGAACACATTAGAAGGGGAGGCGGAGACGTTATACAGGATGAAGATGTATGAGCTACTGGACAGGGCAGGAAGGTACGGGGAGGACCCCACTGAGGCATTCCTGAGGCGGCTAAAGCGGCAGTTTCCAGGGCACACGGCAGAGAAAATCAGAGAGTTTCAAGATTTCAGGAAGGGGCGGAGTGAGTCACTGCTCACCTACTATAACCGCCTGGTCAACTTGGCAGAGGATGTGGCCTGCGCAGACACGGCCCTGCTTGTGAGTAAGTTCCTGGATGGGCTGGAGGGCACTTTGGGAAGCGGACTACGGATGAAAGTGTATGAAATGGGAGCTGACACAGCGCTGGAGGAGGTGTTTGAACTGGCAGAGAAAATGGAGCTGGCGCAGAGGAGGTATGAAGCTTATAGGCCCAGACCGGCGGAGCGAGGCAGGGGACCTACATGGGCTGCTGCCATGATACCAGAGGAGATTGACAGGGCAGCGGGAAGAGGGGAGACCAGGACTGACACGCGGACGTGCCACCGATGCGGGCAGCCAGGACACTTGCACAGGGACTGCAAGAATTGTGACTCTTGTGGCAAGCCAGGGCACCGACGGCGGGAATGTCCTACGGCCGCGAAGTGTGAAGTATGTGGGAAGGGAGGACATGCAGCGAAGGAATGTTATCAGCGAGAGGGAGCAGCGAAGAAGACGCCAGAGGAACTGGAGAAGCAGATTGGCAGGTTGCAAGCCCAGCTGCAGGCAATGGGACCACGGCGGGAAGCAGAAGCGGGGATGTACGCCAAGGAAGAGGAAGAGGAGGACGTGGAGCAGGATGAAGAGGCCGCATTAATGGTGTGGCAAGGAGGAGAAGAGGAGGAAACAGAGCATGAGGAGCAGCCAGCTTATATGGTATGGAGGGGAAGGGAAGAGATGGGGCTACGCAGCGGTGGAAAGGACGCACGGAAGGAACATGTGAGAAAGGAGAGGGAGAAGGGACAGAAACCTAAGGAGAAGGAAGAAAGGTACACCGCTGCGCGGCACCCCCAAGAGAGGTTGGCGTGCCAGACTTCAATGCTGCTGATCCAAGGCGGCGCATTGACTGTGGAAGGAGAGAAGGCAAAGACGGCGATCATAGATACGGGGGCGCAGAGTGTAATACTCGGGAAAGGGATGGCAGAGAAGCTGGGACTGTGGGCTCCAGACCGACACGTGGTGAAAGGAATGCTGGTGATGACCGCGGAAGGGGGCGAATCCAAGTGGATGCCATGTACCAGGACGCCGATAGAGCTGACGGTGCTGAAAGGGGAGAAGCATGAGACGCCGGTCAGGATCAGGTGTGGGATCTCAGAGTCAGAGGACTTTGACGTCTTAGTGGGCACAGAAATGATCTTCGCACTGGGCATGACCATCTGCTACTGGAAGGAGACAGTGGAGTTTCGGACCAGGTGGAAGGAGGGCGATCCGCTAGGACAGCTACCGGTGCAGTTCGTCAGGACAGAGCCAAAGAGGGCTTATGGGGCTGGTCCAAAGGAGGGAGCAGTGGAACAGGGGGCACCAGAGAAGGCAGCAGATGGAAAAGGAAATGGAGGGCCAAGGATGCACTTCATGGATGAACCGAGCCAACAAACAGACTGGCAGCAACCCATTCGGCTGGTGGAGCTGTTCGGGGGAATAGGGGCGGGACTGGCAGCAGTGGTGCGGAACGGCATCGCTGTGAAGCAGTGGATCTACGTGGAAAAGGCACAAGAAGTGAGGAAAAAGGCGGAACACCACGCGTGGGAGCTACACAAGGAGTTTCCAGAGCTGCTGAAGGAAGAAGTGGTCAAGGCAGCCATGAGCCGAGGAGTAAATGACGTGAGGACAATCACAGAAGCTGAAGTAGCAAGCTGGGGGCACGTGGACCTGCTGGTGGCTGGGTGGGAATGCCAAGGGGTATCATGGGCAGGAAGGGGGAAAGGGGAGCAAGACCCGAGGACGCAGCTGATGGAGGACCTGTTCAGGATCATGGAATGGCTGCATGCGAAGCAGGGCAGGTTGGCATACCTGCTAGAGCATCTGGACATGAGTGGGGATGTGCGAGAACCAGTGAGGCTGGTGAAGGAAAGAGTGACCCAGCAGGTGGGTAAAGGGGTAAGCAGTGACGCTGCACGGATGGGAGCATACGCACATCGGCTCAGGATGTAGTGGCAGAACGTGGTGCCAGCGGAGGACCTGCAGAAAGAGATTGAAGGGGTACAGAGAGCGGGAGGACGAAAGGTGAGCGATATACTGGAGCCAGGAAGAACGCCAGCACCAGTGAGGAAGAAAAGCTACAGCAGACATTATCCGTGCAACCAGGTGGGGCAGGAGAGGCAAGCGCTACCTACCCTGGTGTCATATGAGGGGGCAGCGGGATATAGGATGAATGGGGAACAGCCAGGCCCAAGACTGGTACGAGACCACAGGAAGGGACGGTGGGAAGAGCCCACGGCCCTGGAGAGGGAGCTAGCCATGGGGTACAAGGAGAATGCCACAGCAGCTCCAGGCGTGAGCGAGAAAGAGAGGCGGCGAGCGATGGGGAATGCCATGGATGGGTACATGATGAAGTGGCTGGTGCAGCGGATGAGGAGAGAGACCGTGCTGCAGTGGGGACTGAAGGAAGGAGAAAGCACGGTAGCGACAGTCAGACAGGGGGTGTGGACGTGCCTGCCGGAAGAAGAGCACGAATGGAAGATAGGCGAGAGCATGAGCGAGGGAGGGAAGGCGGCAATGAGGGCACTGTTAGTCAAGCATAGGAAGGGTTTCGCCTTCACCCTGCAGGAGTTGGGGAAGTGTAAGATCAAGGAAATGGCACTGAAGCTGAGCAGTGAGGAGCCGGTGTTTCACCGTAGGAGGAAGATGCCACCAGGGGATGAGGCGATCTGCAAGGAGAAGATCGAGGAGTTATTGGAGGCAGGGCTGATCAGGAGGTCCGAGTCCGAGTACGCAACCCCGACCGTGGTAGCAGCCAGGAAGGATTTGACAGGAGAGGTGCTGAGCCGGAGGATGTGCGGGGATTACAAAGATCTTAACAAGATCACGGTGCCAGACAGATACCCAATGCCGATGGCGGAAGAACTTTTTGACAAGATGGCCGACGGGGTGTATTTCACAACACTAGACCTGCGACAGGGATTCAATCAAATCAAGATCAGAGAGGAAGATGTGAAGAAAACGGCTGTCCACGGACCGGATGGGTTGTACGAATGGCTGTACATGCCCTTTGGTTTGAGGAACGCCTCAGCGGTGTTCCAGCGCGTCATGGACGCGGTGCTGAGGGGATAGAGCATGCAGCATGCTACATCGACGTCGTGGTGATCTTCAGCTTGACCGAGCAGCAGCACTTGGAGGACGTGGAGAGGACATTGACGGCTATAGAAGAGGCAGGGCTCACGTGCCACCCTAACAAGTGCAGATGGGGGGAGCAGACGGTGCAGTACCTGGGGTACGAGGTCACAGGGGGACAGATTGGGATCCAGCAGGCAAAGGTCCAGGTGCTAGACAAGTTAAGGGAGCCAAGAGATAAGTCAGGACTGCGTGCAGTCCTGGGCTTCCTCAGCTATTACAGGCGCTTCGTGCCGAACTTCAGCAAGAGAGCGATGGTGCTGAACGGGATGCTGCGAGAGGACATGGCGTGGGAGTGGGGAGATAAGCAGAGGGAGGCGCTGCACGATCTCATGTCAGCAGTGAAGACGGCGACAGTGCTGCGGCTGCCAGCAGCAGACCAGCCCTTCATCCTCTACACCGACTGGAGCAGCCAGGGGATGGGGGCGATCCTGTGCCAAGAAGTAGAGGGAGTGGAGAAAGTGGTAGCCTACGCCAGTAGGAGCTGTAACCCAGCAGAGGCACAGTACAGCTCATACATTGGGGAGGGGCTGGCGGCAGTATGGGCAGTAGGACACTTCCGGGTGTACCTGCAGGGCAGAGAGTTCACGCTAGTTACAGACCATCAGCCACTCACGTGGCTAATGACGACGCCGGGCCTGACGGGGAGGAATGCGCGGTGGGCAGTAAAGCTGCAGGAATATGATTTCAAGATCAGGCACAGGCCGGGGAAGACACTGCAGCACGTTGATGGCCTGTCCCGCAACCCGCCACCACCAGAAGCAGAGCAGGCTGCCAAGCAGATGGGAGAGACGGAGCAGGAGCCAGCACAGACCTTAATCCTGCTGGCGAGGGAGGTAGAGCGGGCGGGTGCAAAAGGGAGCAAGGGGCCAGCAGACATATGGCTGGATGCAAAGGCAATGGAGTGGCTGAAGGGAGAGACGGAGGAAGATGAAACGGTGCCTGAAAGGGTGAGGGCACGGGGACACCACTACAGGTGGTATCAGCAGCAGCTACAGATCAAGATGGAGGACTGTTGTTTGCTGGTGCCAGCACCTGAAGAGCGTGACGCTGTGATCAAGGAAGTCCACAACAAGCTGGGACATTTCGGGCACGAAAGGACAGTGCAGCTGCTCAAGACGGGCTGGTGGTGGGAAGGGATGCGCAGGCAGGTGAAAGAGTGGGTGGAAGGGTGCGAGGCGTGTCTGAGGAGCAAAGCCAATCTGACGCAAGCCAAAGCAGAGCTGCACTCACTGCCCATCTGTGGGCTGGGGTTTCGCTGGTCACAAGACCTCGCGGGGGAGCTGCCGCTGAGCAGGAGCGGGAATCAGTATATAGTGTTCATGGTGGAACATGTGAGTAAGTGGCTGGAGGTGAGAGCCATACCGAGCAAGAGCGCGAGGCATATTGCAGCAGCCTTCAAGGCGCAGGTGGTGTGCCGATTTGGAGCGTGCGGGGAAGTACTCACTGATCAAGGAACAGAGTTCCAAGGAGAGTTCAAGAAGCTGCTGGCGGAGTCTGGTATCGCGCACCGTAAGACCTCCCGCTACCACCCGCAGAGCGACGGGCTGACTGAGCGGGCCGTGCAGACCTTTAAGCGGGGACTGCGGGCCTATGGGGAGCAGAGGAAGAGAGACTGGGATGAGGAGTTGGACTGGATAGCAGCAGGGTACAGGTTCGGGAAACAGGCAGCCCTGAAGGACCACTCCCCGTACAGCCTACTTTACGGACGAGAGCCCATACTGCCAGTGGGGGCACCGCGGGTATTGACTGATAAAGTGACGGCGGGCACGATCAAGAACTGGGTAGCTCTGTCCAAGGTGAGAGCGCGCTACAGGCGCTACATGATGCCAGCTGCACTGGAGAACCTGCACACCGCGCAGCTGAGGGATGCCAGGAGGTATGAACAGAGGCAGCGCAAGGGAGATGGGCGGGTGACAAGGGGCGTCAGCGAAGGGCAGGAGGTGTACCTCAAGAGAGCAAAGCATGACACCTTGGATGTAGGACTGGGGACGGTCCGCTGGAAGGTCAAGGAGGTGCGCCCTTCGGGGGTGCTGGTCCTGGAGAATGACACGGGAGCACAGTTGAAGGAGCATCAAACGAACACGGCAGTGATCCGAGGAAGCGGGCCTCAGCGCAACGGTCCTGTGACCCGCGCTCAAGCTGCGCGAGCACGGGCACAGGAGGGGGCAGAGGGTGGCTGAGGCAACAGAAGCAGTGAAGAGAAGTTGAGCAAGAAGACTAAGGCAGATGAGGGAGTAGCTGTATCTCCGACAGCTGTCACCGAATATGCACGGTTGTGCATATAAGGTGCCAGTAATAAGGGGGTGTAGCAAGGGTGTAGTTATGTTGTGCTTGCAGATTCGAGGATGGGTAGGTGGGGGCTGGGAAATTGACGCGAAGTTGGTAGGAGAGCACCAAGGGGTGAAATCCATGCAACCAATGGGAATGAACCCACCCAGGCTCGAGCCGCACATTGAGAAATGCACGGTTCGAGCCAGGGTCAGGTAAGTTCACTCTCACACACACACACAATGCTTTCCGTTTGTTATCCTTTCGTATAGTGGATTCTTGTTGCCTTAAGCTTTGCCTACGGTGACACCCACTCAGGGAGGACCCTTGAGGTGAGAGTTTCATTTCTTTCAAGAGGGTGGCTGAGGCAACAGAAGCAGTGAAGAGAAGTTGAGCAAGAAGACTAAGGCAGATGAGGGAGTAGCTGTATCTCCGACACACTGTTCAACCCCATTGCCCCTGCTTGCGCACCCACTCCCCCTCCTCTCCCCCCCTTTCAGAACATAGCGCGCATGTATCGCCTGCTGAAGCGCGTGCCACAGGGGCTGCAGACGATGCGGGAGGTGGCAGGCGCAGTGCCCCTTCCTCCTCACCACTCCCATCACGGACCTTCCATCCCCTTTGCCCCTTCCATTGCCCCCTTCAGGACATAGCGCGCATGTACCGCCTGCTGAAGCGCATGCCGGCAGGGGCTGCAGACGATGCGGGAGGTGAAGTGGGTTGCAGACATTGCACGCAACTGCAGCATCCTTCCCTCCATCCTTCATACAACCCCACTTCCCTCCACCCCCCCACCCCCTTTCCCCCCTTCAGAACATAGCGCGCATGTACCGCCTGCTGAAGCGCGTGCCGCAGGGGCTGCAGACGATGCGGGAGGTGATGTCGGGGCACCTGCGGGAGACGGGCAGACAGCTTGTAACTGACCCTGACAGGTATGGTGGGAATAGGTGGGGAGGGGTGTAAGTTGGTGTGGTTGTGGCTGCAGACAATGCGGGAGGTGATGTCGGGGCACCTGAGGGAGACGGGCAGGCAGCTTGTGACTGACCCGGACAGGTATGGTAGATCGTGATGAGCCAATTTGTGGCCGTGTGCCTGTAGCTGTGTGAGACGTTGAGGTGATGTCGGGGCACCTGAGGGAGACGGGCAGACAGCTGGTCACTGACCCGGACAGGTGCGATGGGGATGGGGAGGGAGGATTGGAGGTGAGGTTGGGGGAATTGGGTGTAAGTGTGTGCAGTGCAGACGATGCGGGAGGTGATGTCAGGGCAGCCCGTCACGGATCCGGAAAGGTGTGGTGTGGTGGGGGTTGGGGTTGGCGTGGGTGTGAGTAGGTGTGAGTGGGTATGTTGTTGTGTTGGATTGGATGAATGAGGTCATGTCAGGGCACCTGTGCTGCGCCTCTTGGAGGAGAAGGACAAGTACGACCAGATCATGTGAGAATCCCATAGTTGGGATGAAGGGGTGAACTCAAGAGTTGATTGTATTAAGGAAACATTGGGCTTACATAGGAGAAGGAATAGTGAGGAAACTAGGAGATAAGCTCACAGAATTATTGGCTGGCCAACATTGTTGGCTGCCCAATAATGGTTGGGATGAGCCACCAATTATTGGCGGACCGATAATTGGTTGGAAAGGGCCACCAAAGTGGCCCCCAATAATTGTGGCATAAGGGGGGTTGGGGTGCCCCAAACCAAAGTGGTTGGGGCGCCTCGAACAAAGTGTACACCCAGAATTGGGTGTAACACTAGCACAACTATAACATCATAGGATATATTCTAACACAACCCCGTAGCATATGAATGTTATAGTGGTGCACAACCCCGGAATGAGGAAGCCGGGGCCGAAGGAGGGGGGGGAGAAGGGGGGGAGGGGGGTGCGGCAGCGGAAGCTGCAGGTGAGGGCGCAAGTCAGCCGAAGGTGCGAGGAGCGGCGACGGGAGAGGGCGCAGCAGAGGAGGCGAGGGCGGCGGAGACGGAAAGGCCAGAGCGGCAACGGGAGGGGCGGCGAAGGGAGACGTCGGCGGCAGCGGGAGGGCTGCGGCGGCGGAGGGGGGACGGCGGCGGCAGCGGGAGGGCTGCGGCGGCGGAGGGGGGACGGCGGCGGCAGCGGGAGGGCTGCGGCGGCGGAGGGGGGACGGCGGAAAGGAAGCGAAGGAGGAGGAAGCGAGGGGGAAGGGGGGGGTGGGCTGGATGGCCCGAAGGAGGAGGAAGCGAGGGGAAGGGGGGGGTGGGCTGGATGGCCCGAAGGAGGAGGAAGCGAGGGGGAAGGGGGAGGTGGGCTGGATGGCCCGAAGGAGGAGGAAGCGAGGGGGAAGGGGGAGGGGGGCTGGATGGCCCGAAGGAGGAGGAAGCGAGGGGGAAGGGGGAGGGGGGCTGGATGGTCCGAAGGAGGAGGAAGCGAGGGGGAAGGGGGAGGTGGGCTGGATGGCCCGAAGGAGGAGGAAGCGGGGGGGAAGGGGGAGGTGGGCTGGATGGCCCGAAGGAGGAGGAAGCGGGGGGGAAGGGGGAGGTGGGCTGGATGGCCCGAAGGAGGAGGAAGCGGGGGGGAAGGGGGAGGTGGGCTGGATGGCCCGAAGGAGGAGGAAGCGAGGGGGAAGGGCGAGGTGGGCTGGATGGCCCGAAGGAGGAGGAAGCGAGGGGGAAGGGGTGGTGGGCTGGATGGCCCGAAGGAGGAGGAAGCGAGGGGGAAGGGGGAGGTGGGCTGGATGGCCCGAAGGAGGAGGAAGCGAGGGGGAAGGGGGAGGTGGGCGGGATGGCCCGAAGGAGGAGGAAGCGAGGGGGAAGGGGGAGGTGGGCTGGATGGCCCGAAGGAGGAGGAAGCGAGGGGGAAGGGGGAGGGGGGCTGGATGGCCCGAAGGAGGAGGAAGCGAGGGGGAAGGGGGAGGGGGGCTGGATGGCCCGAAGGAGGAGGAAGCGAGGGGAAGGGGGAGGGGGGCTGGATGGCCCGAAGGAGGAGGAAGCGAGGGGGAAGGGGGAGGTGGGCTGGATGGCCCGAAGGAGGAGGAAGCGAGGGGGAAGGGGGAGGTGGGCTGGATGGAACGAAGGAGGAGGAAGCGAGGGGGAAGGGGGAGGGGGGCTGGATGGCCCGAAGGAGGAGGAAGCGAGGGGGAAGGGGGAGGTGGGCTGGATGGCCCGAAGGAGGAGGAAGCGAGGGGGAAGGGGGAGGTGGGCTGGATGGCCCGAAGGAGGAGGAAGCGAGGGGGAAGGGGGAGGTGGGCTGGATGGCCCGAAGGAGGAGGAAGCGAGGGGGAAGGGGGAGGTGGGCGGGATGGCCCGAAGGAGGAGGAAGCGAGGGGGAAGGGGGAGGTGGGCGGGATGGCCCGAAGGAGGAGGAAGCGAGGGGGAAGGGGGAGGTGGGCTGGATGGCCCTTAGGGGGAGGAAGCGAGGGGGAAGGGGGAGGGGGGCTGGATGGCCCGAAGGAGGAAGCGAGGGGGGAATGGGGAGGTGGGCGGAATGGCCCTTAGGGGGAGGAAGCAAGGGGGAAGGGGGAGAAGGGCGGAATGGCCCTTAGGGGGAGGAAGCGAGGGGGAAGGGGGAGGTGGGCTGGATGGCCCGAAGGAGGAGGAAGCGAGGGGGAAGGGGGGAAGTGGGCTGGATGGCCCTTGGAAGGGGGGGCGGAAGCGGGGTGACGGGCGAAACGCCGCCGGGAGCGGGATTGACGGGCGAAACGCCGCCGGGAGCGGGATTGACGGGCGAAACGCCGCCGGGAGCGGGATTGACGGGCGAAACGCCGCCGGGAGCGGGATTGACGGGCGAAACGCCGCCGGGAGCGGGATTGACGGGCGAAACGCCGCCGGGAGCGGGATTGACGGGCGAAACGCCGCCGTGAGCGGGATTGACGGGCGAAACGCCGCCGGGAGCGGGATTGACGGGCGAAACGCCGCCGGGAGCGGGATTGACGGGCGAAACGCCGCCGGGAGCGGGATTGACGGGCGAAACGCCGCCGGGAGCGGGATTGACGGGCGAAACGCCGCCGGGAGCGGGATTGACGGGCGAAACGCCGCCGGGAGCGGGATTGACGGGCGAAACGCCGCCGGGAGCGGGATTGACGGGCGAAACGCCGCCGGGAGCGGGATTGACGGGCGAAACGCCGCCGGGAGCGGGATTGACGGGCGAAACGCCGCCGGGAGCGGGATTGACGGGCGAAACGCCGCCGGGAGCGGGATTGACGGGCGAAACGCCGCCGGGAGCGGGATTGACGGGCGAAACGCCGCCGGGAGCGGGATTGACGGGCGAAACGCCGCCGGGAGCGGGATTGACGGGCGAAACGCCGCCGGGAGCGGGATTGACGGGCGAAACGCCGCCGGGAGCGGGATTGACGGGCGAAACGCCGCCGGGAGCGGGATTGACGGGCGAAACGCCGCCGGGAGCGGGATTGACGGGCGAAACGCCGCCGGGAGCGGGATTGACGGGCGAAACGCCGCCGGGAGCGGGATTGACGGGCGAAACGCCGCCGGGAGCGGGATTGACGGGCGAAACGCCGCCGGGAGCGGGATTGACGGGCGAAACGCCGCCGGGAGCGGGATTGACGGGCGAAACGCCTTCGGAAGCGGAATCGACGGGCGAAGTGGTAGGCGCGTTCGTCGCGCGGGTCGGCGCGTACAAGCGCCTCAAATGCCACGGGGAAAAGCCTGAGGGAGGAGAGCAGGCTGGTGGGGCAAAGACCATGAAGCCGGCAAGAGGCCGAGGATCTCCTAGGGAGGACGAAGGTGGCGTTAGCCAAAATAGCTCTATACCATGTGAGAATCCCATAGTTGGGATGAAGGGGTGAACTCAAGAGTTGATTGTATTAAGGAAACATTGGGCTTACATAGGAGAAGGAATAGTGAGGAAACTAGGAGATAAGCTCACAGAATTATTGGCTGGCCAACATTGTTGGCTGCCCAATAATGGTTGGGATGAGCCACCAATTATTGGTTGGTTGGCAAGGGCCACCAAAGTGGCCCCCAATAATTGTGGCATAAGGGGGGTTGGGGTGCCCCAAACCAAAGTGGTTGGGGCGCCTCGAACAAAGTGTACACCCAGAATTGGGTGTAACACTAGCACAACTATAACATCATAGGATATATTCTAACAGATCATAGCCGCCTCCTTCGCTTCAGACAAGGCCTTTCACACCACCCTCAGCACTGCCTTTGAGTTCTTTCCACTTCTCTTTCCTCTCCCTTCCCCACCCCCCCAGGTGCAAGGACCCAGTCGAGTTCGTACAGAGGCTCCTAGAGGAGAAGGATAAATATGACCGAATCATCGCCGCCTCCTTCGCCTCCGATAGGGCCTTCCATACCACGCTCGGCACGGCATTCGAGTTCTTCCTCAACCTACCCCTTCCTGTACCACTCCTCTCCACTCCATCCCATCTCTTTTCACCCCTTCAGGTGCAAGGACCCAGTGGAGTTCGTACAGAGGCTCCTAGAGGAGAAGGATAAATATGACCGAATCATCGCTGCTTCCTTCGCCTCCGACAAGACCTTTCAGACCACCCTCAGCACGGCCTTTGAGTTCTTCCTCAATCTCAACGCGCGCGCTGCAGAGTACATCTCTCTCTTCATAGACGACAAGCTGCGCAAGGGGCTTAAGGGGGCCAGCGAGGAGGAGGCCGAGGCGGTGCTTGATAAGGTCATGACGCTCTTCCGGTTCCTGCAGGAGAAGGACGTGTTTGAGAAGTATTACAAGCAGCACTTAGCTAAGCGCTTGCTGTCGGGGAAGACGGTTTCGGACGATGCGGAGCGGAGCTTTATCGTGAAGCTTAAGACTGAGTGTGGGTACCAGTTCACGTCGAAACTCGAGGGCATGTTCCTTGACATGAAGACGTCCCAGGACACGATGCATGCGTTTCACTGCGCGTTACAGGCGGAAGCAGCGGCAGCGGCGGCGGCGGCGGGAGGAGGGGGAGTTGCGGAGGAGAGGGGGGGCGGGGAGGGAGAGGTGGAGGACCCTGCTAGTGGGTTTGCTGCTGCTGGGGCTGCTGCAGGGGCTGGGGCTCCTGGGGTTGCTGGTGCAGGTTTTCGGGAGGAAGGAGGGGATGAGGGCGGGGAGGAGGAAGGGGAAGGGTCGGCACGCGGAGGAGCAGCAGCAGCTGCAGCAGCAGCGGCAGCACTCCGCGCCGAACCAGATCTTGCCCTCGCCGGACCGTCCGGCACGGCAGCAGGCTCGGGAGCCGGCTCGGGAGCAGGCTCGTCGCCGTCATCAGCGGCAGGAGGGGTGGCAGCGGGTGGATTATTCCAAGGGCCGACTCTATCCGTCCAGGTGTTAACTACGGGGTCGTGGCCTACCTAGGCCGGTGCCAGATGCAACCTCCCCGGGGAGATCTTGCCTATATGCGAAAAGTTCACGCGGCACTACCTGACGACGCACACCGGCCGGCGGCTGACGTGGCAGATGAACATGGGGCATGCGGATGTGAAGGCCACGTTTGAGACAAGGAAATACGAGCTGTCTGTTTCCACCTACCAGGTGAGTGTGTGGGGCCCATGTCAACATACCAGGTGGGTGTAGCATAGCAGGTGGGGCATAGCGGGTGGGGCATAGCGGGTGGGTGTTGAGGGTTTCGCATCGAGTGGCAGATGAACATGGGGCATGCGGACGTGAAGGCCACATTTGAGTCAAGGAAATACGAGCTGTCGGTGTCCACGTACCAGGTGGGTTGGTTTGGGCATAGACGGTGGGTTGGTTTTGGGTTTTTTTGTTGACTTGTTATGACCTGCTAGCCAGGTGGACGTGAAGGTCACGTTTGAGTTGTGGAAATACGAGCTGTCCGTGTCCATGTACCAGGTGGGTGGGGCGTACTGGGTGCTTATTGGGGTTTCCGTTGACTTATTGTGACCTGCGATGCGGGTGGGGTCCCTCTTTCCCCCCCGTCTTTCCCCCCCCAACCAGATGTGCATCCTCATGCTGTTTAATACTCATGATTCCCTCACCTACCGAGACATAGAAGCAGCGACTGATATCCCATCAGCGGATCTGCGCCGCAACCTGCAGTCGCTGTCACTGGTGCGCGGGAAGAACGTGCTGAGGAAGGAGCCTGTGGGGAAGGAGGTGGGGGATGACGATACTTTCCACTTCAACCACAAGTTCACCTCCAAGTTCTTCAAGGTGAGAGGAGGGGGGGGGGGAAGGGAGCCTCTGAGAGGAGAATGCGTGTGAGCCCCTGAGCAAGGAGGTGGGGGATGACGACACTTTTCATTTCAACCACAAGTTCACCTCCAAGTTCTTCAAGGTGAGATGGGGGTCTGGATGGGTGGAGACGAGAGGGAGCGGGATGGATGGGGAGAGAGCAGGGTAAGACGGGCACGTCACTATGCAAGGTGCATGAATGAGAGAGCAACCTGCAATCGCTGTCGGTGGTGCGAGGCAAGAACGTGCTGAGGAAGGAGCCCGTGGGGAAGGAGGTGGGGGATGACGACACGTTTCACTTCAACCACAAGTTCACCTCCAAGTTCTTCAAGGTGAGAGGAGGGGGGGGGGGAAGGGGGGAAGGGAGCCTCTGAGAGGAGAATGCGTGTGAGCCCCTGAGCAAGGAGGTGGGGGATGACGACACTTTTCATTTCAACCACAAGTTCACCTCCAAGTTCTTCAAGGTGAGATGGGGGTCTGGATGGGTGGAGACGAGAGGGAGCAGGATGGATGGGGAGAGAGCAGGGTAAGACGGGAACGTCACTATGCAAGGTGCATGAATGAGAGAGCAACCTGCAGTCGCTGTCGCTGGTGCGAGGCAAGAACGTGCTGAGGAAGGAGCCCGTGGGGAAGGAGGTGGGGGATGACGACACGTTTCACTTCAACCACAAGTTCACCTCCAAGTTCTTCAAGGTGAGATGGCGGGGAAGGGGGGAAAGGAGCCTCTGAGAGGAGAATGCGTGTGAGCCCCTGAGCAAGGAGGTGGGGGACGATGATACTTTCCACCTCAACCACAAGTTCACCTCCAAGTTCTTCAAGGTGAGAAGGCGGGGGGGGGGAAAGGGTGTAAGGGAGCCTCTGAGAGGAGAATGCGTGTGAGCCCGTGGGGAAGGAGGTGGGGGATGACGACACTTTCCACTTCAACCACAAGTCACCTTCAGGTTCTTCAAGGTGAGAAGGGGGGGGGGGGGGGGGGGGGGGGGTGATGGGTACACGGTTACCGTGTGTGCAGGGGGCAATGGATGAGCCGGTGGGCAAGGAGGTGGGGGATGACGACACCTTCCACTTCAACCACAAGTTCACCTCCAAGTTCTTCAAGGTGAGATGACGGGGGGGAAGGGGGGAAGGGGGGAAGGGGGGAAGGGGGGAGGGAGCCTCTGAGAGGAGAATGTGTGTGAGCCCCTGAGCAAGGAGGTGGGGGATGACGACGCTTTCCACTTCAACCACAAGTTCACCTCCAAGTTCTTCAAGGTGCGAGGGAGGGTGGGGTTGATGGGTGCACGGTTACAGTGTGTGCAGGGGGAATGGTTGAGCCCGTGGGCAAGGAGGTGGGGGATGACGACACGTTCCACTTCAACCACAAGTTCACCTCCAAGTTCTTCAAGGTTCGATGGCATGCTGAGGGGGGAAGGGAGCCTCTGAGAGAAGAATGCGTGTGAGCCCCTGAGCAAGGAGGTGGGGGATGACGACACTTTCCACTTCAACCACAAGTTCACCTCCAAGTTCTTCAAGGTGCGAGGGGTAGGGATGGGTGCACGGTTACAGCAGGGAGAAATGGGTGAGCCGGTGGGGAAGGAGGTGGGGGATGACGACACCTTCCACTTCAACCACAAGTTTACTTCCAAGTTCTTCATGAGAGATGGGTTGCTAGGAGGCAGCACCCTTACTAGGGTGGCAACCTCACATGCTCGGGATGACGACACCTTCCACTTCAACCACAAGTTTACTTCCAAGTTCTTCAAGAGAGATGGGTTGCTAGGAGGCAGCACCCTTACTAGGGTGGCAACCTCACATGCTCGGGATGATGACACCTTCCACTTCAACCACAAGTTTACTTCCAAGTTCTTCAAGGTGAGGACGCCGCAGATAAAGGCCGTCACCTTGGAACCATGGCTTCTCTGTCCCTGTGCCTCAACCTGTTTCCGTTTGACGTCCATCTATCGGCCTGCAGGTGAAGATTGGGACCATCTCCGTCCAGAAAGGAACAGATTCGGAGAAGGCAGAGATGCAGCTCCAGGCGCCTTACCCCTCATCCGTCTCCCCATTCTCCCTTTGGATTCTTTGAACGTGCAGGTGAAGATTGGGACCATCTCGGCCCAGAAGGAGACGGAGCCGGAGAAGGCAGAGACAAGGCAGAAGGTGGAGGAGGACAGGAAGCCGCAGATAGAGGCTGCCATCGTTCGCATCATGAAGTCACGGCGCATGCTGGATCACAACAACCTTGTCAGGTGAGCTTATAAAGGGTACAACGTTGTTGGGCAGCTTGTGAGGAGGACTGGAAGCCTGCAGATACACTGAACGAAATAATTGTCCACATGTTCATTTTTGTGGACAAAATCAAGCATTAGTGATGCCATGGTGATTAAGCCTTAATAATTGTCCACTTGAGGTTAAAGCATGATGTCTTGTACATGTAAACACGCGGCATGATGGCCATAAACTTGGCCCAACACTCAGCTAATATAGTTCTAGGCAAATACCTGCACATGGACAATTTTTTACAATTACAGTCACACATGCAAACCAAGCAGAATCTAGTACTTCGTCCACCGACCCTTGGCCTTGAGCACAGCCCGCACACGCCTAGGCATGCTGTCGATCAGCTCACTGCACCAGGCCGCTGGGATTTTCTCCCATTCCACTTGAACTCTGTCCCATAGCTCAAGAATGTCTGCGGGGGGCCGGGGGTAAGCAAGCAGCTGCTTTTTCAAATAAACCCACAAATGTTCTATGGGGTTGAGGTCGGGACTAGATGCAGGCCATGAGAGAACAGTGTACGGCTGCGCATCTAGGTAAGTCTTGACCATCTTGCATGTATGCTTCGGGTCATTGTCATGCTGAAACACAACGGTCTCGGGATTCAACTCGTAATGCTCGATTGTCTGCTGAAGCTCGTCTTGTAGGATTGAACGGTATAGCTCCCCGTTCATTCTGCCCTCTATCTTGCACATGAAACCCGCGCCGTTGTATGTCATGCACCCCCAAATCATGAGGGAGCCGCCGCCATGTTTGACGGTCTGTTTCACATGGTGCGGCTCCATGTGCCAGTGTCAAACATTATATATGTTGGGTTTGTTAGGCTACAGTGGGTTAGCCTATATGGGGTACACAATTCTAGGGTTTGCTTTTTGTACTGATTTCTCTGTTAGTTCAATCATTCCTGTCTGTTAACTCCGACATGGTTTCAGAGCAGGTCCTTCGCTAGGACCGTCCTAAGGGCCCACCTACCTACCTACCTACCTACCTACTACCGGAGTGCCTTCTTAGCGCCTCCCACGTAGCGCCCTCGAGCGCTTTATTATTAACCTTTTTTTTCGGCCCCGCTGGCCCCGTCGATCGAGCCCCGCCTAGAGGCCCCGCGGCCCCGTCGTTTTTTGACCTAGAGGCCCCTCACGGCCCCGTCGCGCCGCCTCGCAGCCGCCCGTCGCCCGTTAGCGCACGCCCCGCAGGCCCTTAGCCCGCCGTCGCAGCGGCCGCTCGCTCGCAGCCGCCTGTCGCCCGCTAACGCGCGCTTCGCAGCCGCCCGTCGCCTGCTCGCGCGCGCCCCGCAGCCGCCCGTCGCCTGCTCGCGCACGCCCCGCAGCCGCTCGTCGCCTGCTCGCGCACGCCCCGCAGCCGCTCGTCGCCTGCTCGCGCACGCCCCGCAGCCGCTCGTCGCCTTTTCGCGCACGCCCCGCAGCAGCCCGTCGCCTGCCCGCGCTCGCTCCGCAGCCGCCCGTCGCCTGCGCACACCCGCCCCGCAGGCCCGTAGCCCGCCGTCTCAGTGGCTGCCCGCCTGCAGCCGCCGTCGCCCACTCGCGCACGCCCTGCTGCCCGCAGCCGCTTATACGCTGCTTCTTCCGCTGCTGCTTGCGCACCGCTCCCTCCCGAGCACCGTTGCTGCCCCTACGCTGCTGCTGCCCGTGCGCCACCGCTACTCGTGCACCGCCGCTGCCACTCGTGCGCTTCTGCAGCCGCCGCCCGCGAGGCCCACGCTCTCACTGCTATTATTTTCTATCTACCGTGCACACTGCTGCCACTACACCAGCCACCAGTGCACCGTTGCAGCTCCTGCTGCCCAGCTACCTACTACTGCCGCTAGTGTGCCACTACGGACAGTCGACCCCGCCCGCGCCTTACCTAGTGGCCCAGCCGGCCCCGTTGACTCTCCGCACACTGTTCCAGCGGCCTGATTCCTACTGCTACTGTCGCTATGGCTAGCCCTCCCGTTCTAGCTTTCGATGCCGAGGGCCGTCCGGTGAAGTTCGAAACCTGGCTAGATGACCTGCATCTGTTCCTACAGCTCACTGCCAAGGAAGATATCTCACTGTACGACCACGCCCTAGGCCATGCCACTGCCCCTGACTCGACTGCTGACAGCACTCTGCGTTCCCAGTGGCAGACCCGTGATGCGCATGCTCGCTTTGCTATTCGCAACTCCCTGCCGCTAGACGAGCGCGAGCACTTCGGCCAGTGCAAGACTGCTAAGGACCTCTACACCGCTGTAGTTGCCCGCTACTCCTCACCCGCTTCTGCCACGCTAGGCCGCCTCACTCTCCCCTACCTGTTCCCCGACCTAGCCTCCTTTCACACTGTCGCAGACCTCATCACCCACCTTAAGACTAGTGAGGCCCGCTTTCGCGCTGCTATGCCTGCCGAGTTTCTCACTAGCAACCCCCCCCCGCTCTGGATCACTCTCTACCACATCGTCACCCGCCTCCCTGACTCTCTGCGCGCAGTCAGGGACCACTTCCTCTCTCGCTCCCCCACTGAGCTCACTGTTGCCCTCCTCGAGAAGGAACTGCTTGCAGCTGAGGCGAGCATCGTCGCTGTAGGCACCTCTCGTGGCGACCCCCGCACCCCGTTCTTTGAGGGGTGTTCCCCTTCCCCCCTCCTCCCCTCTGTCGCCTCTGCTGCTGCTGTCGACCTTCTTGGTGCTGAGAAGGTCGGGACCGCGTCTGCTTCGAGCGGGCGCCGCAGGAACAAAGGGGGCAGGGGTGGGGGTGGTGGCGGAGGAGGTGGGGGTGGAGGCGGTGGGAGTGGAGGCGCGGCTGGGGAGACTGGTGGCGGCAGTGGGGGAGGAGACAGCAGCGGTGGGAGTGGTGGTGGAGGCGGCAGCGGAGGCGGAGGTGGTCGTGGCGGCGGCAGGGGTGGAGGTGGCCGGGGCGGCGGCGGTGGGGGTGGTGGTCGTGGAGGCACTGGCGGAGGGCAGAGTCAGCAGCCCGCCCCGACGCTTCAGGCCGCCCGTGAGTGGTATGCGCAGCGTAGCGTTATCTGCACGTACGTCATTCGCACAGGTGACCGCAGCGGCCAGCAGTGTGGGAGGCCGCACCCCACGCAGCGCTGCTTCGCGCGCCTTAACGACGCGTGGCGCACTCAGTTTCCTGCTGCCACTGAGCTGCCGCGCTGGGCTGATCTGGAAAAGAGGGGTGTTGATATTTGGGCTTTAGACTTTGATGCTATTCTCACTGCCATGTATGCGATGTCTATTAGTGGAGAGGGTGCTCAGTACTTGTGTGTTCCGCCCGACCCGGGCATTCAGACCAGTCTGGCTGCCGCTCTAGGTGCTAGTGCGTCTGCTCCCACAGGTCCTGGTGAGGCTGCTGCCCTAGGTGCTCGTGCGTCCGTCCCCCCTGGTACTGAGTCGACTGCAGCACTGCACACCTTCACACTGGACTCAGGTGCTTCCCGCTCCTTCTTTCGTGACCGCACTGTCCTTGAGCCACTAGCTCGGCCAGTTGCTGTCTCTCTTGCTGACCCCTCTGGGGGTCCGGTCATTGCGACCTCCTCCACTGTCCTTCCTTGTCCGGCGGTCCCGTCTGGCACGCTGTCAGGTCTCTACCTCCCCTCGTTCTCTACGAACTTGGTGGCAGGTAGTGCACTCCAGGACGGGGGTGTTCACCAGTTCACCCCTGCCTACGAGCGCGTGACACACTGCACGTGTGCTCGGACGGGTCGCCACCTGGCTACCTTCACTCGGGAGCCGGGGTCGGACCTTTACACACTGACCACTGAGTCCCCTCAGGTAGCTGCGTCCGCGTCTGCGTCTGCGTCAGGTCAGCTGTCAGCCCCCTGCTCGTGTCGCTCTCTGACGCATGAGACTGTCCTCTGGCACCACCGCCTTGGTCACCCGTCTGTGCAGCGCCTTCGGGCCATGCACAAACGGGACCTTGTTGCTGGTCTTCCCAGGGTGCTCCCTCCCCTTCCCGACTCGCCTGCTCCTCCCTGTATTCCCTGTGTCGAGGGACGGCAGCGCGCCGCTCCTCACTCCTCCTCCTTTCCCCCGACGACTGCTCCCTTGCAGACGCTCCACATGGACGTGTGGGGCCCAGCCCGCGTCCGTGGTCAGGGTCAGGAGAGGTACTTCCTGATTGTTGTTGACGACTTCTCGCGCTACACCACGGTCTTCCCCTTGCGCGCCAAGGGTGACGTCTCTGATGTCTTGATCCCTTGGATCCGCAGATCTCGTCTCCAGCTCCGTGAGCGTTTCCGCTCCGACTTCCCTGTCCTGCGTCTGCACTCTGACAGAGGTGGGGAGTTCTCCTCTGGCCTATTGGAGGCCTTCTGTCAGCAGGAGGGCATTGAGCAGTCGTACACGCTTCCGGCCTCTCCACAGCAGAATGGGGTTGCTGAGCGTCGCATTGGTCTGGTCATGGAGGTCGCTCGTACCTCCTTGAGCCATGCGGCTGCCCCCCATTTTCTGTGGCCGTTTGCAGTCCAATACGCTGCGCATCAGCTCAACCTCTGGCCCCGTGTCTCCTTGCCCGAGACTTCTCCGACACTGCGTTGGACGGGAGAGGCTGGCGATGCGTCGCGTTTTCGGGTCTGGGGATCCCGAGCTTTTGTCCGCGACACGTCCGCGGACAAGCTCTCCCGTCGCGCTGTCCCCTGCGTCTTCCTTGGCTTTGTCCCAGACGCCCCTGGTTGGCAGTTCTACCACCCCACCTCGCGGCGTGTCCTGGCCTCTCAGGACGTCACTTTTGACGAGTCCGTCCCCTACTACCGCCTCTTCCCCTACCGCACTGCCCCGCTCCCCCCCCGCCTCTCTTCCTCGCTCCAGGTGCTGAGGTACCAGACCCCCTCCCCCCTCAGGGTGCCGCTCCCTCAGGTGTGTCCCAGGTAGACCCGGGTGAGCCTGTCGAGGTAGCTGTTGACTCTCGTCCTGCTAGGGGTGCTGAGCCTGGGGGTGCTGCGTCTGGGGGTGCTGAGCCTGGGGGTGCTGCGTCTGGGGGTGCTGAGCCTGGGAGTGCTGA